ATTATAGGGGTAGCTATGGATGGATAGCGTGAAATATCATCGTGTATTTCACTATCAGATGGGAATTTATTGTCTTACTTAAAATAAAATGGGTGGGATACCGCAGTAAGCAAGCTTGTAAAGACGACATTCATATGTTAGATATGCTGTTTGTGATTGGTACTCAGATTTTGCAATATTGTTTGTTTTTTACAAGTAATGTGTATTGTTTTGGTGATTGCGATGTTGTTCTTTATTGCATCATGTTGCGTATAATGTTGTGGTGTCTGATCTTTTCATAAATAAAGAATTAAAAAAAAAAAGACTGATGAGTGCTGGCTGAAACAGAAACCTCATAAAATAAAGGTCAGTATGACTTGCTTGTGTTCTTGCGTTGACTGTGATTCAGACAAGGTCAGCTTACTATCCTGGGGCTGTGGGGATAATCATAAGTCATATATATATATATATATATATATATATATATATATATATATATAGCAGTGTATATAAGGTCATAAAGTAACGCAAGTAGAGATTTGCAGCCGCATTAGTTCAGTGCGATTTAGATGAAAATTTCTATCGTTTTGCCTTAACAGAATTAATGACAGTGCTTTTGTGCCTGGCTGGCAAAAATCTATCAAAGGATGCGCATATGGCATTGTTTCAGTTGGTGGTCAGACACCATCTAGCAGAGGGTCATAAATATCTGTTAGCAGTGCGACTACGCCATTACCCAAGAGTGTGTGTGACGTAGTTGTGGTGGTGAAAGGGTTAAAGTACACTATTTGTCTGCACTAGACCGGAAATAATGACAAAATCCCCCTTTAACACCACCCACACTTAAACATAATAATATAACTATTACTACTTTAACGCTGCCACCACCAAGACAATTTATAAATGGGGTGCCTTGTTTGTTTTTCTTTTCCCTCTCTCCCCCCTACTCTTCTCTTCAACAAGATATTTATGACCCTCTGCTAAGATGGTGTCTATTTTCTAACAAACCTGTGTCTTATCTACACTCATGTCGCTTTAACCCCTGTATCACAAATCAACTTTGAATTCTATGTGTCGTTTTGCTCAGAAATGCTTCAGACTTGAGAAAGGGAGGTTCTCCCGAAAGCTTGTCATTAAAAAATTCTGTTAGTCCAATAAAAAAGGTATTACAAGATAAGAATTTTATCTGTTTTTCATCTATATATATATATATATATATATATATATATATATATATATCTATATATCTATCTCACATAGGTATAGCATCATTCTAAATATATCTTTCTGTAAGCCCTTAACTCCAGTAAGGCACATTTGTTTCATTCTTCGTGTGTATATATATATATAAAACGTACAAGATCCAACACATTCATCTATTCACTCATCTAAGCAGCAATTTCAAGGCTCACAGAATGTAAACGTTTTATTTAAAAACTCCTCACCTAGGCAAAAATAATGGGGGTTAGTTACATTATATGATCATATATTACCTAAGCCTGCCACAACGTCAATGTACCCATTCTTTTCAGGTCAAATTCTAGGTTATATTTTGGTCAGAACTTGTACAGTTGCCTCTGTCCTTAAGGGGTTAATTCCAGGATATAACATAGCACAGTCAGCTTATTTTATAGACTCACCTGCTGGGCATTAGTGCTGACCATGCAGGCAGCATAGAGGTTAAATGGGTGTGGTCATGGTGTGCTGCCTGACTCTCTGAACACCTGGTTTAGTAATTGGGAAGCAGTTATTTAAACAGTCCCGCCTAAGGCTTAGAGTCAGTCTGTGAGCTGTGTAATAGAAAAAGCTGATGTGTTCAAATCATATGGAACCTTGGCTGTTGTAAAATGGTCTCTCTGAGGCAGGGCTGCATTTTTGTGAACCTGCAGATTCTATTAAGTATGCTTCTTATTTTTCAAGGTGTAATTTGTATGATCAGGAGTTTAAACAATATACATCTGCGGTAATGCTAACATTGCTGAACTACGTATGGGCCTCATGCCTTAAGGCTGAATTGAGCAAATATCACACATATATTTTATGCCTAGGTAAGTGAATGCTCATCATAACATACTCTCGTTACCACCTAAAGGCTGAGGAGGAGGGTATTAATTTGGTCTTAAACCAATCAAGCCAAAGGGTACTGATGCAGTCTAATGCTAAAAAAATAAATTAAAAATTAAAATTAGGGAACATTAGCCACCATCGCTAGCTGTAGGGATAAAGCATTGTCTTGTTAATTGTGAGACAATATCTATGAACGCTTCTGCAGTCCAGTGGCATTACACATGCACTAAAGTACAGCTCTGATATGGGATGAAGAGCTAGAAGCAGAAGATTAAACATGACGATACTCCCTATTGCAGCACCCCCTGGGCACAATAGCCCAAGTGGCAATGTCACCATCTGAGGTCATTTTAAAATATGCAGAGACCCTGGATGGTGACAGCGCTGCTTTAAGTTGAAAAGAAATAACATCTAGACCCCATTGCATATCTAGAATCTATTGAGAAGCTAAACGTACCTTTTATGGCTAAATACTCTTAGAATCTTAATAATGTTGTCTTGCTTCACAGTGCAAAGACCAAACATGTGCAAACAGGCCAGTCTTATGACTATCTTTGTTGGGGGTTGATTGCAGTCATGCTGATGGCTCCACCATATTGGTTCCTGTTCTCATATCATGACTGCTCCAATGTTCCTTGAACTTCCTTAAAAATCTCTACTGATTTCAGAAGAAAGAGAATAATGAGCCATCCTGCTTGTTATCACTCTTGAGAATAAGAAACCTCTGGTGGTCTATCTGCTGCCCACATCATGCTTGGCCTGTAAAAGCAATTATCATCATCACAGATATTTTTCCCATGTAAAATTCCCATCTGTATGCAGTATTTATATAGAGAACACACACAAAAGGAAATCAATGAATTTACTGTAGAGATTCCTTTTGGGATTCTCAGCATGATTCAGCCATTTAATTCACTCAGAGGAATGTGACATACAGAGGGAGCCACTTTCCGTGAGAGAGACAGCAGTATATGGAAGTTATATATATATAGCTGGTACAAACATACTGTTGAGTTTTTATTGTTTAAATACTAATAAATGATGAAATATCACTGGTCTTTATATGAATATGGTTCACAAGAATGTACTTTTGAAAAGTATTCCATGTCTGATTTAAAACACCTTATTTATTCATAAATATATTATACTATAAAAATATTTTTAATATTAGTAATTTTTCTCTTCTCATTTTAAAGGGGAGTACTTACCTAAATGCCCATTGGTTAAAGGAGCACTATCCTGTAAACCCCTTGGAATTAGTTGGTGGTATATAAATACCAATAATAATAATAATTTGTTCCTGAGCGTTAGATTGTGCCGCCTTCTTAAATAAATGAAACTGCATCTCCTCTTCTAAGGTCATCTGTTCACAACATTGCTGGTCTAATGATCCAATACTTCTAAAAAAATAAGTATTGGGGATCTACTGGCTATGCAGGGCTGCCATCAGGGTGTGACAACAGCAACGGTTTCCGGGGGCCCGGCAGTCCTATGGGGCCAGGATTGCTAAGGAGACTCAACCACAGGTAGATATGGCTGTACATTCCCAATGTGCACATATATAAAGCAATTATTGCACTCTCTCTCTCTCTATGTATGTATGTATGTATGTATGTATGTATGTATGTATGTATGTATGTATATGTGTGCACCAGGCCTAGCAGAGGCCCAGCACATGCTATCTTCACTTAACAGCAGCTCCTGTCTCTAAATCACGCAAGCCCCTCAGTGGACAGAGTGAGGAATCCTCATAGAGGATTAGGATTAGACTTACCAAGGCAACGCTGCATGGCATGCAGGCCAGTCTTGCAAGAGTTAAAGAGAGGAGCAGCTGGAAAGTGAAGATGGCGTGTGCTGGGCCTCAGCAGTATACAGCGTCTGGCAACCTGCCCAGGAGTCCAGACATTGATCTGTGTATGGAGAATATTCGAATGGTTTTAATGATTGAGATCAATAAAACCAAGTGTTAGTATAGGGCTGGTACTTGGTGAAAGCTTGGAGGATAATCTCCTCTTAAGATCGTATCTCCTCCACACTATGCATCCATTCTCAACACCGCTCTTTGCATCTGGAACCTAGGAATAAGACTAAATGCTGCATGGATTAGCTGGGGAAGCTAGATTGGGAGATTATTAAGAAGTAATAGGTGTGTTTCTATGCTGAATACAATCCTCTTTTCCTAGTGCTATAAGGTCCTAGCGCCAGATTACTTTCAGGCTCCCTATTTTACTGTAAAAAGCTTTTGACATACCTTTTCTCCAGCATCAAGACCTCCTGCAGCAACATCATCCATATCTCTTACCGATGTCCAAACTAATGCTCCTCATAGAGGATAAGGGTTAGACTCAGGGAGTATTTTTTTTATATAGATTTGGGACACCTAGGAAAACAAAGATTACATTACAATTATGTCTAGGGTTAACACATTTCATCTTATCTTTCAAGGCAGACACCTTTGGCAGTAAGTGCTTTGTCATTCCTCTAGCATTTCAGCTAAATCCGTGGACATTTTCTGAATTCCTGCTGCACCAACGGAGTGGTAATACTTTCAGCACACTGCTTATCTGCTACATATTCTGGACTCTGTTTGAATTCTTTGATGGAAAGTAGGATTTAAACACCATATTTTTTACTGTGTATGAGTTTGGAGTTTTGTTTTTACATGACATTAATAAACTGTGTTGCACTTTCTTTGCTTGGTTTGTATCTTTGAAGATATGTTACTGTGATCACTGCTGTTGGATACAAAGTTTACACAGAATACTCCTAATTTCCTAAACCACCGCTGTGGAGGTGGAAATCATACAAATTTATCTCAATACCCAGCTTCCCCACAAACACTTATTCGGGGCTATTGCACATCGCTGACATTTATCTACTTTTGAATAATCTTATACCGCCCTAAGTTGGTGGGAAGATTAGGTCTTCCATATCTCCACTTTTACTACCTATCAGCTCAATTAGCACAGGTTGTAATGTGGCACGCTCCCCCAGACAATAGAAAATAGAAAATGGGTAGATTTGGAATCCCTCATGATGGGAGCAGATCTCCCACAATTTTACCTTTGGATTCCTAAGATACATAGAGCTCTGCTACATACTATCTGTCCATCTGTGACTCATTCCATATGGGTCTGGGATAACACTGCTAGGTATTTTGATAAATGAAATTTGATCTGATGTCCTCACCATCCCTCATATTGCCTTTACTATGAAACATGGCATTCATTCTGGAAATGGCATCAAACATGCAGGAATACAAAGGATTCGCCATCTCTATGACAGAGATATGACTGATGCATTCACTCTGAGTAGGATTACTCTGACATCCTTGGACTTTTTAAGATACATGCAAATTCAGGACTCTGCTTGTAAACCCCATATTAAGAAAGCCCATACACAACTCACTTTCTTTGAAAGATTATGCGAGGTGTAATCATATCACAAAGGCCTAATCACTATGTTATAGTCCCACCTTTACTCCACCAAGACAGACTGGGGTAGACTAAACTATACTGGTCAGTGGGAAGCAGAATTGGGTGAAGTTCTTGAAGGCACAGACTGGGAGGCGATATGGGAGGCAAATAGCAAAACATCCGTTTGTGTAACAATGCAGGAACAATCCTACAAGACAATGTTTATATGGTACGCCACATCTGTTACATTGTGTCATATGCAAAATACCCTGACAGATTTTTATTGGAGGACTGTGGTAACATGTAGCCACATATGGTGTAATTGTCCACAGGTAACTGTATTTTGGAAGAAAGTGGCTGATCTCACTTCCTAGATTCTTCATAAACCATAAACTGCCTCTAGTTAAAGGACCACTCTAGGCACCCAGACCACTTCAGCTTAATGAAGTGTTCTGGGTGCCAGGTCCTTCTAGGGTTAACCCATTTTTTTATAATTAATGGGTTAAGCCTTCCCCCAAAGCCTCTAGTGGCTGTCTCATTGACAGCCACTAGAGGCGCTTGCGTGCTTCTCACTGTGATTTTCACTGTGAGAGCACGCCAGCGTCCATAGGAAAGCATTGTAAATGCTTTCCTATGCGACCGGCTGAATGCGCGCCCAGCTCTTGCCGCGCGTGCGCATTCAGCCCAGGAGGAGTAACGGAGGAGGATCGGAGGAGGAGAGCTCTCCGCCCAGCGCTGGAAAAAGGTAAGTTTAAACCCCTTTCCCCTTTCCAGAGCTGGGCGGGAGGGGGACCCTGAGGGTGGGGCCACCCTCAGGTCACTATAGTGCCAGGAAAACGAGTATGTTTTCCTGGCACTATAGTGGTCCTTTAACTGGACAAAGACGAAACAGAC